CATCCCTTGTGTGACTAGACTCCAGACAGTCCTTGAAGGCTTCTTGGCCAGAGTGGAAGTATGGTTGATGATACAAGTCCTGCATTACCCAGAATAAGGAATATACCATAATTCCCACAGTTTAGGGCCCTTAAGGTAATGCAGGATTTATATCATCAACAGTAGCACCCGCATGCATCCATGCAGAAAGGCTACGGGGCCGCATGAGGTTTCTCACAACATTCTTGGGTAGGTCTCTAAATTAGGGTCCCTTTTGGGTCCTTTTAGAAAGGAGCCCTACTATTTTTGGGACCCAAAAAGGGACCCTAATTTAGAGCACTACCCTCTTTAGACGTCGGACAAGCGGTCCTGGCTTCCCTGTGCCAATCCTTCCCCCCGAGCGCGAAGTTAGGTGAAGCCTGGGTGCGATCGGCGAAGGCCTCCTCGTGGTACTCGAAGAGGCCCTGCGTACCCAGAGAACCCAATACCCCTTAAATAAGGAATATACCCTAAATCATAAAATTAGGGCCCCTATAGTTTAAGGTATCTTCCTTATTTAAGGGGTATTGGGTTCTCTGGGTGTGCAAGCTTGCGGGACGACGCAGCCCGACACCAAATTGTCTCATGGGCACCTCGCAAATCCAGGCTGTGGGCAGGTCTCGCCGAAATCCAGCCTCAACCTCGGCAGTTCCATCGGATCGCGTGCAACGTAGATCGCACCGGCAAAGACTTTTTTAGCATCCGACCAGTGCATCGTGCAAGCTGATCGGGCCCCCCGTCAGGTCCACGCCCAACCTCAAGGCGCTGCAAATGCTCTGGCCCCTCGACTCTACAGACTCTACAGTTCTGTCAGTTGTGAGTATAACCTCGCAGGCTCCGGACGAGAACTGTTCAATGCCATGGCAGCAACTCGGCGACTGCCAGCTCTTTGCGTGTTCATGCCACTCTTGGGCAGTCGCCGAATCCAACATGGTGCAAGGAGTACCGAACAGAGTTTCCACGTGAACCTTGCAAGTGCCGTCGAGAACTCCAAGCCACGAACCCACGAACACACTCTTCACCGGGTCTCGAGCTGCACAGCTCGGTAGTTCGCTGAAAAGAACCTGCAGCTGCGGTTCGAAGCTATGACGCCATTCGATGCAAAGAAGTGCCTCATTTTTCTTGTGCGGACTCGGACCGGGAGGGCTGGAGCGAAAGCTTCTTGCGGGATCCCTGTCGGACCTCGCCCTACAGCTTCGGAAGATCACGCTGCCATGGTCTTGAGCTGAACACCATCACCTGAAGCATTTCCTTCCGGACCGCCCAGGTAAGGCTGTGCATAGACCGGTCCCGTATACCAGTCGTGCTCCACCGCATTCTCCCCGTCGAGGCCGATCAGGCTTTTCAGCGCCGGAGAGAGGGACTGAAGCACTGCGCGCGGAACTGCCCAGTGGAAGTTGTGCTCGGATCGTAGCCAGCCCAAGTTGTAGATGAAGAGCAGTCCTATACAGGTTATTAAGGGTTCCAAAAAGGATTGTTATGGGTTCCTTTTGGGTTTCTTTAAAGGTTCCTTTAAGGGTTCCTATAGAGCAGTCCATGTCTTGGCCCTGCAGGCGTCACCGATCTCTCGTAGGAGCCGGCTCCATGCAGGGTGTGTCCACTCCAGAGGGCCACAGAGCCCTTGGGCATCACCTCTCTGGTTTAGGGTTTAGGGGTTTA